TCGGTTACAATGTCGTTGTTCGCTCATTCAGAATTATCGATTTTAAATACAGTATATACTTCCCTTCTTATGTAGCTAGAAATGTCTATTGGAGACCAAAAAATGAGTTTGTTGACTGTTTTCCGTGGTCAATTTGAACAGCAGAATTTTCTAGCTCGCGTTACAGTAATCTCCACATGCTCCGTGGGGTGTTGCAATGGATGACATCATGTTTATATACTGCTTTTCACGGGAAACAAGGACCGATCTAATTCCGATCGATTTCGGCTGGTTTTCAGAGGAAAATCGGCAATAAATCGACAATAAATCGCACGATATGACGTAATGTGACTTAGAAACAATATGGCGACTGGATATTGCGTTTGAATGAGCCTCGAAGAGTTAATACATAATAACTCTTTTTCTAAATGACATTTTCAATTTAAGCTTGGCCAACATCTGAAATACATCCAAAAGCAAAATCGTATCCGAGCATAACACGAGTTTCTGTTTCGTTCGTAATTTAGAGGCATTAACACAAAAAGTGCCGTAAAAAAAGATTTTTAAAAAGCACGGTATGCTCGGATAGAAATATGCATTTTATCTGAATCATTTAAAAAAAATTGCATTTCAGCAATTTTAAAGTAGTTTTTTGAAAATATTCATTTTTCTTTGGTTGTCAAGGAAACCACTCACGCCTCTAAAAGTGGGTGTGTCATGTAACCTATATCACTGGAATCTCCATCTCATATGATTTACACAATATACCAGTCAAAAACCACCATTATTTATATGTGTTAGTTTAAATGAATCTAAAGTGACCCCATTTTTCCCTTTCCTCAGACCTTAAGGTGGATCACAACTAATGAAACACAAATTTTGTACTTTTTTAACACGCTCGCTTGGGGGCAAAAGGATTTAGGCAAACATGCTGAAATTTAGATACAACATGCAGTGATTATTGCAGTTTTATTAAAGTTGTCAGTAATAGGCCATTTTCATGATGGCGTAACTTTACTACAACTACCAGAGAGCCTTGTGCATTTTTAACTCGGAGATTGCGTAGCAATCGTAGAGTTATTGGGAGGGGACAGCTGTCACTCGCTCGATCACTTTCCTGTAAACTCGAGCCTGCGATGTCTTTGTCAGCAGTTATTCATTTAATTATATTAATGTATTCTACTTAATTATTATTTATCATATCTAATTTTTCTTTACTGGTTTCCCTGTGCTATATCTGATTGAATTGATTTATTTTTTGGCAAATAAAGAAATCAAAGAAATGGGTCACCTGGGATCTGAACCCGGGCCCGCTGGATTGGAAATCAAAGGCACTACCGATTAGGCCACGCGTGCTAATGTTACATGACGTCGGGTAGACTTGTGTTTTAACCGATGGGCGCTCACCCGTGCTTGTCTAGAATTCGAAGGTCAAACTATAAGATTAACGAAAAAATCTGCATTCAAATGTCGTTTACATAAAATTCTATTTGTAAAGTAAATCTAATTTGATTCGTTGTATTGTTCAGTCACAAAGGAAGCATGAGGAAGACTCGCCGATCCGACATTAAATTCGTCTCGAAAATCATTTTACGTGTGTTTTATTTATCCACGTTCGTCTACAATTCAAAAAATATATTCGCTCGCTACCGTACTATTACATTGTAATATTTGATACATAGTTCATTGTGTGGTTAGACATCGATAATACTATTTTGAGCCGCTACGGAAGCTAGCAAACAATAAAAGCAACGGTGCGTATAGTTGGTCGGGGATTCAATTGAACCAACTTTCAGTTGTTTACTTCACCGTTACGGAGTAAGCATTCTTAAAAGAATTGCTGGAAAAAAATAATAAAAAATAATAAAAAATAATAATAAAGAACAAAAAAAAGAAAAAAAAACCATACGACATCATTTGAGATTCGAACCATGACCTATTGATCAGTAAGCCTGTGTTTTTACCACTAGGCCACGATGTCAAACTTTAAACAAGAGTGGCTAAGACTGGGATTTATTTTGCCGTCACTCGCCGTGCTTATCAACACAGCCGAAGTATTAAGTAGTAAGATTGTAACGAAAAAATTTCATAAATCGTTTACTTAAAATTKTAATTGTTAAAGTAATTATAATTTGATTCATCGTACATCTATCGTTCTGTATCAATCTCCGAGTTATGCTGCCATTGGCTGCTTGATCATTGTTATTTTCAAATGTTTAATCCCCTTAGCGATTAGTAAAACAATTGGCACTAATTGCATTACAAAAGAAAGTGGGCAAAGCATTCTGGTAGTTGTAGTAAATGACGCCATAATACAAATTATTATTAATTAGTAATTTCTTGGCTGGTTTTAAAGATACAGCACATTTTCAAACAGTAGTAATTTTAGTTTTCAATGATTTACTCTAAAACTACCAGTCGGATCATCTAGACATTTTAAGGTGGATTTTCACGTACAGCTTGTAGTATAAGATTTTCCTACAACAAGTCGTAGGATTTTAAGCCGTGGTTCAGAATCCTACTACAATTAGTAGGTTGCATTCAACTGTTGTAGACAAGTCGTAGGGGCATTTACACTGCGCGATTTAAGTCGTATACTACAAGTCACACGCAATAATCGTTCTGTGTAAATCTGCCTTCACAATTTGTATAGATCTTATCAAACTGCATAAAATATATGAATTTGGTTGGAAAAACTCAGGCAGAAAAAAATGAGCCCAAAATATGACGTACATAGAATAAACAGCCGTATAGAAATAAATATGGACACGAATTACCATGATTTTGTGATATGTTGAACATCAATTTTTGAAAATCAGTGTGTGGAAAATTTCAGTACTATAGCATAAGTTTCAAATTGAAAGAATTGATGATAATCGCTAATGGTCACTGTCTGCTGCGATCTGATAATGATAGATATTAAAATAGCATCGAAGAATATAACTTTATCATCTAAAGTCTAAAAAATCCCTTTTCTGACTTCGAAGGCTGTCATTTAGACAATTTTCTTGAGTAAAATCAGTCAAATAAAGCTGTTAGATTGGGTTTCTACAGCGCATGGGTGAAATAGCCTGGTTCTGGCTTCCAATATTGCACATTTCCGAGTTCAAGGACTTGATCTGAGACCAAAAGTAACGCAGGCTCTGGGTAAGAGATTGTTGAAAAATCACAAAGAGTACAAAATTTGTGTTTCATTAGTTGTGATCCACCTTAACTTTGGGTGTTTTTTTCTTCTCGTTTTCAAAATAAGTAGCAAACAAGACCCTACTCAGTATGCTAAAAAAACCTGCATAACAGTTGTTATCCTTACCCCTGGTCCCCTCCTCATCTTCAATGGGAAGACCATTTCCTGAGACCAAAATCAACTCTTTACCAAACTTTTCCTTGGCTTTGTCTAGTACAAAAGGGACATTTGCAGAGTCCTCTCTAAGGGTTAGATACATCTGATTTTTCTCTGTGAATCCTTTCCCTGTTTTGTCAGCCAATACAATTTTACATGCAAAGGAGGTTTTGTCTGTGCTCTTCTTAAAGGCAGCAAATGGTCTTAAGGTTTGTTGGTTGTTGGCACCAGACTGAGAATTTGTGGAGGCTGAGGTGTAGCTTAATGCACTTGAAGGTGGATTTTGTTTGCTTTTTTCAACTCCCATCACCTCAAAGCTTGTTCCAACTGTATATGGGAGAAGATTGAACTTCCCATCATCAGGGAAGACTGCAGAATCTCCCCACTCCTCCTTGAGGTACAGTGAATCTTCATCAACCTAATTTCATAAAATAATATATGTAAAGTCATAGTAAAACAAATGCTATAAAACTTGTAGTTTCTAAATGAATGGGAATTGTCAAATTCTGATCTCAAAATCCAAACTACAGTTGATTCTTTTTGAACGAGCACTCTCGTAAACGACCGTCTCTCGTAAACGACCACTTTTTCCTGATCCCGAGGTGGTCGCTTCACTTTAACGCTTACGAGAGAGTTAATTGGCTCAGTGTATTTTAAAACTAAATCCTAATTACTTTTAATGTCATGACACCTTTTTTAATTGACTCCTTCAAAGTTCGTATATCTAATGAAGCCTTCTTTAATTTGGTGTCATTTACATAACTCAAAGGCGCAAAACTGAAATGCAGGAGTACTTCACCATTCAGTTATTCACTTTATATAGAATCAGCTCACAGAGAATCATGTAATCAGTGACAGCATTTCTAACGCCTAAATCTCTCCATTCAATTTCCATACGAAGTTTGAGTCAAGAAAATATATTTGCGCAAGACGATGGGTTTTTAATTGACAAGAATGTCTTTTAACATGACTTTTAGACTACGACCATAACAACACCCTGCGTGTTTTACTAACTTATTTGTCACAAAACCGTTTTGAACGTATTCGATTTGTTAAAATGCTTCAAATTTCGTGCAATTTATGATTGTTAATATCTTTTCCTTAGTTTGTGCTATTTTTTTATAAATGAAGAAACAAACCCGCACCACGCTCAAACAAAATAGCATTATTGATCTGATAACTGGTGATAATCGAATGAGAATTGACATCCCGATCTATTTCAAAACGTTCCAAATAAATTCCACCGCGGCTTTATAAGATTGTTGCCTGCACTTCTCAACGAGATAATGTTATCAGGCCACGCATCAGGTCGCTAGACATTCACAAATTGATGCGAACTTTTCATGTAAAGTGGAGTGTGATCTTCATGTGTACATTCAATTTGTAATAAGACATGAAAACTTAAGTGTGATTTATAGAAACCGGTGTTTTCAGTTACAGATTAAAACATTTATAACATGGCGATTCGCAAGTTTTATTTTGAGAAACAAATTGAACTGCAGTTTGGAAATATAAAAATTATTACATATCATAGTTAACTACAAACTACGAGCTACTGCAAACTATACAACTCAAGGAAAGGTTTTGTTTCGGAAATTTCGAATTGTTTTGACATAACTCAGAATCAACTTCAATAACTGCATCACATGCTGCATTCTTATGAATATTGCAAATGGTTACATGTAATAGGCATATTAAGTGAAAGACATCGAGTTTACAATGTAAAGTTGCTTTTTCTAGCCGTTCGACAAGTATTTTGAGCCATCCAAGCGGAATGTCAGCTATAAGGCTTACTAAAGATTTCCCTACTGGTTCCCCACAAAAAGAGACCTACAGTTGCTTGTGCAATGACTGTACTTACTTGAAAAGCGGTAGAAAGTCGTTTTGCTGTCACATCTTGCAGTGAGATCCACAATTTTCTCCCTCCTCTGATAAATTCAAACTGATTCGCCATGGTTTTATAAACTTAGCTCACACGACAAACTTAGCTCACACGACGACGACTCAAACAACCCGACTTTCCCACGGCGCGCTTGTGTAGTTATGCTCAAAGGACACGTGACTCGTCTACATGCTCTTTCCGAGAATCATGATATTTTGGCGCGAAAATCAATGAAAAATATGATCCTAATATGATAATCTAATGGAGGTTTAAAGGCATGGGATATAAAATTTATTGTAATGGAACGTTTTTTAAAGTGTACCTACTGGAAAATGAACGTGAATGTTACAGATATTTGTGAGACATTTGTGGCGGGGGTGTAGAACGAACACGAAAAATAGGCTGCTGTACGTATCATTAATAGGACACCATAGGGTCCCATCGTCAAATTAACAAAGCAAAAGTGGCCAGAATAAGAGTTTTCCCAACCTTTATTCATAAAATATTATGTTTGTTTAATCCGTGTTCCCTGTTGCCGATGTGTTTATACGCCAGTAGTTTTTTTTTTCTATGATTATGATTATGGTGGGGTGGTGGGTTTGAAGTTGGTATATCTTTTACCAAAAGTCATTTAACTGCTCATTTGTTAGATAGGCATTAACTTTTGGTCTCTTGTATCGAATACCACTCAGGGGCGGATCCAGGATTTTTTTTTAGGGGGGTGACTTTTGATTTTTTAAGAGTTAACATATTTAATTTTCCCGCCAAACGAACAAAAGCTCCGCGAATGCATGTGTGTTCTTAGATGCCCGAGACGCTAAAAAGTGTTAGTCCTTTTGAAAAGTGTTATTTATCGAAATATCAACCAATTATTTCACTATTTCCTTGATATGAATATTTCTATATATTCAATTTATACAGGAAAAAGGGGGGTGAACGTTTACCCAGTTCACCCCCCCCCCCCTGTATCCGCCCCTGCCACTAAATCAAGAGTATATAATGCTAACATCACCAATACACTGATTTGTGCAAACATTTTATGTATACTATATATGGATAAATTATTACTTGCAGAAGTTCTGTATCCATATTTACGTAAGCATAAAATGACAAATATCTAATAAGTTTTCACATTTTAAAACATGTTAATATTTCTGCAATTGAATGTTGTCACAGAAAAAATACTTACCATTCAGCTCATTTGTTGTGCTCTCAATAAAATAGGGAAGTTCAATCTCAATTTGTGCATTAGTGTATTCAAGCTTGCTGGAGCTTTTGTTTAAACGATACAGTCTGAGATCAAATGGAACCATTTTAAAGGCAAGATCTTTCAGCCCCATAAAGTCGAGTTTTTTTCGGTTACTACCTCCCCAACTTGCATGGGTGGGGGTGTGCTGCACGACACTCAAAACCCTAAGCCTAGCCTACCACAGACCAATTTTCGCGCTATATTCCGACCAGGCAGATCAGGTCTATGTCATAACTATGATATCAACGAATTATTAATAATGTAAACACATTTATAAACGTTCCAGCTCACCTGAAATGCAACAGCTAATCGTCGCAGTGTCAGTTCCTCTTCTTTAATGCTAATTCGAAGCTCTTTCCCCTCTCTTTCAAATTCAAACTTTCGAGCAACCATCTTCACCAAGACATACCCCCTCTATCAATGCCAACGCCCTAATTCGGTTTGCGGTACTTGTGGGGCGGGGGACAGGGAGCCCGCCACTAAGAACGGCTGCGAGGAGACTACGGTACTTTTGGTTTGCGGCTGTATTTTGGCGCGAAAATCGTTGGGCCTGTTGTTGGTTAAAATACTATTCAATATGGAACGTTTGTCCAAGACTGTTATTGAAGATTTAATCTATCGTCAAAAAAAAACACACTATGAAATAAGTGAGATCCTACAGAAACGATTTCCCAATGAACGAGGCTTCAGCGAAAGATCGGTAAGAAGATTTTGTAATGAAAACAACATATCGAAAAGGTCTGGAGTTGACGAGGCAGAATTACATAGAATGGTTAAAGATGTTGTATCTAAGGTGAGCTCAAGATCTTCTAAGAGTACATGTACCTGCTTTAAAAGCGTCTTACTTAACTTTTCAATGCGATAGATAATACCCAACCCCATAGCCCCAGTTGCATACTAGGTGTCACTAGTCCTATGATTTTAGATAAAAGCCTTGCTACAGACCTGAAACCATTTAACTTACTGCAGAGCTTAAATACTCTCTTCGACATAATCCTCTTCTCTAGGTTGGCCCAACCTGGGGGCGCAAAATGATAACCGGATATCTTCGTTCAAGATGCGTTTATGCAGGGGAACGACAAGTTGGCCAATGTCTTGCAAATGTGGCCCCGAAGTTTCACGAACAGAGGAAAAATCGTGCAGAACAGTTGAAAAACCCTGTTCCATACAATGCCGAATATTTCGGCCACAAACTTCACATAGATCAGAACGAGAAGCTCAACATGTATGGTGTTGTTCACGTATGTGCTGTAGATGGTTATAGTGGCATGATTGTAAGTCATGCTTTAATGCCAGTTAAAAATAATCTACTTATCTATGAGCACATTTACAGGTTAGTGCTATAAACAAAAGAAAAGTTTTATTTATAGGTTTGGGCAGATCCAGAAATGATCTGTCTGCCTGTCTGTTTACTCAAAAATCACTATTGAGTTTGTTTAGAAATATGTTTCTGTGTCCAAAACAAGATTGTTATTATTATTATCTGAGAGGTCAAATTTCTATGTTTCAGGCAATCAATATTGTCATATGGCATGTGGGATCAGCTTAGAACAGACCATGGACGGGAATTTGCGCTTATGCTATTCATCCAAGATGTACTGAGAGAACATAGAACAAACGTTAAAAGACTGCCATATATTCAGTCAACTTCCAAAAAGGTCATTTTTTAGTTGTTTGTTTCATTATCCTCTTCCATATCTTTAATTAGATATTCAATTCTAGTTGAGTCAAGATGCCTGTTATATAAAAATATAATTATTATCATTTTCACTGTCATAATTGTGCCATGTAAAGTAGACAAGTTGATGGGAGCTAACCCAAATTATAGCCATGAAAGACAAATAATTTATTCATTTTAAAATTAACAATATTATAACAGAGTCCTGTAAATTATTGTTTATTTAAACAAATTTGTCTATATATTAAATAAAAGCAGTTTTGTTTCAGAACCACAGAATAGAAAGAATGTGGGTAGAGATGAACCTGAGAGTAAATTATCCAGTAAAGCGTGTGCTCAACTCCATGGTTGATGATGAATTACTGGACATAAATGATGACATTACAAAGTTTGCAATATCCTGGGTAGCAATGAGGGTCTGTCTTGTTGGCTGTGTCCAAGTCATTGATGCATGGAATTCTCATAGTGTTCCAGGTATTTAAAATTTATTGAGAACATAACCTGATAATCTCATTTTTTCTTTTTCTTTTCTTTTTTTACCAGCTATAAGTCTTTCACAAAAGCTAAAAAATGTTGTATACTGTGTTTTGTATAGTTTTGAGATTTATATTTAAAATTTTATAATTGAATGTGTTGGTGTTGTAACTTTTAAGATAAAAAGTCAATACCTTTTTTACTATGAATTAGGAAAAGGTGAGCCTAAACAACTGCAAAAGAGCAAAGACAATACTAAGACAATTTCACCTAGTCAACTTCCCACCACAGAGGAAGCAGTCCAGATGTATGAAGAGCAGGGTGGTGCACTTACATACTGGCCAGAATTTGGTGAAGATCCCTTAACAACAGAAGAGCTACAACAAGAACGTGAAAATAATTTTCATAAGTCCTTTCATAATTTTGATGTAATTTTCCACAGACTGGCTATTGGTGAATCGTCATTGTTTCAAAATGCTGTAATACTGTTCAGGGATCTTACTATTCAGTTTGCTGAGTTTGAAGTATAAATTAAGTTTAAGAAGTACTTGTTGCGCAAATTTTAAAAACAAAATAGTTTTGGATTTTATTTGTGAAAATTAGATGTAAAATTATCTTGAGTTCTTGAGTAAAAAAAAAATAAAATTTGAGAAGTTGATAATACTTCTAATAATAATTGTGAAAGTTGACAGTGGGAGTACACCCAGAAATAGTAATAAAAAAGATAAGTATATATTTATTCAGTCGAAATTCATCAAACCATAACCCTCACAAAAGCGTGAAAATGCAATATCAAAGGTTTTTACTCCAGGGGGAGTGGTCAAAAGGCCAGTCTGAATAGTGTTAAAATTTGAAAGATATTGTTGAAGTATTGTCTTTTTCTAAATAAGAGATTTGACTTCATGGTATGTTCTTTTATCGCTTTTTTTGTCTTATTTTGTATTATTTGATGAATATCGATTTTAGATTTTTTACTTTTTTTACATTCTTTCATTTAATTCATTTTATAGTGCTTTGTCGTTTGTTGTCTTTCATTCTATTGTGATTTCTTCCCTTTTTTACTATTACTTTTTGCTATTAATATTCATTAATGTACCGATTATCATGTTGGATTTTAAGATTTTCCTTCTTTTTGTGCATTTAACTTCTTATAATCGAGAGGAATGTTCAATATTTTCACTTACATTGATTGAATTATTTAGAAGAAAAGAAAATATGGTTCCATCGGTGAATTTTCGGTGAACTTTAATGTTGATTTTCTATGAATTTTGCGTTCAATAGTTCGTACATGAACATGCGCAAAGTGTTTGGTCTGGGCCACATCACGTCGGTCCCACATCGAAGAAAGCATTTTGCAGGCAGAGTATAAAATTGGAAACGAATCCTGAAGTAGTAGTACTTGGCGATAGTAATAGGTTCCATCAATATGCGGCGGCATTACATGGGCTTTGGGTCCCGGTGGAAATCTCCCATGCAGTCAAGTACCAGACCACCAAGAATTTGTCGAGTTTCTGGAATAAAACCATATGGTCCCCATCCAGAAAGGCCGAATGCTCTAGGCTTCCTTTGCAAGAGAAAGTCGCATTTCAATCTGTAGGATAGAGCCTAATGGTATTCGTGCTGTGGTTGAGGGGTTTAAACTTTTCCTTTTGAGTAAATAGTATGTACGGAATTAAGACCGAACAGAAATGATCTCTTCTTCACATATAGATTCATTACCAAACAATTAGCAGTTTTCCCAGTGGAATTGAAACTGTCAAACACAAAATCGAATGTTAACTAACTTAATTTACCTGCATGATGAAAATGTAAAAAACATTAATGATACAAGGCAAGTTCCCACATATATCGCAGTATCTTTTCCATGCTCCATATCAAAGGAATATTTTCGCTTGACTGACATAGTAACAGTAACTAGGGAGGTAGTAGGACAATGAATCGGGATCGGTCAGTTGGCAAGAAAACGTGCATACACTTATTTCTCAAAAAAGGTTGTCGAACAAAATGACGAGTTTTGATTGTCGAACGGAAATTGCACGAGTAGAGTGCAAGTCACATAAGCATGAAACAATTCTTAACTATGTAGTGCTAAATAAGATTTAGTCATCAACTAACTAAGAATTGAGAACAATGCTACAAAGGAATTTAAATAATTGGCATTGTGTTTATGCTTTGTGGAATTCTTAGTTAGTTGATAACTAAATCTTATTTAGCAAACATATTAAGAATTGTTTCATGCTTATGTGACATGCACTCTATCATGAGTTTTGTTATAATTGGTGAGAAATAATTGAATTATCTTTGAGAAAGATTGGCTCTATTTCTATGCTAAACCGATAGGCAAACATGTAATTTTTTCTTGATATTGACAATTTTTACTAATTTGCAAAATTTTCTCTTAACTTTATCTTTTCGCCCTCATGTTTTTATTGTCCTTTTGCATGAAACGGTCACATGTTACTAAATCGGCCATTCTGGAGGGCAATAGAATGTAAACAACCCCACAAAACAAACGGAACTTTTTTGGAACATCACAGTGGGAATGTTGCCCTCCAGAATGGCGGATTTAATACCATATGTGACCTTTCATGCAAAAGACCAATCGTCAGCACAACACTGACTACGGCTTAATGGGTTGTATCGGGTGGGTTATGTTTCTTATATACTTAACATCTAAAAATATGTTTAAATTTCAATTTCAAGATAATGTACAAAGTTATTAAATATTATTTATTATTACTGGGAGTATACTATAATACTCATAAAATCAAAAATGGCTCAAAATAATTATTTTATTATTATCTTATTTTATTTTATTATTTTTGTTATTTTTTATAATTATTTTATCATTTTATTTTATTATTTTTGTTTAAAAACAAAATCTACAGAAAATCACGATGACCACAAGATGACCATAACAAATATATTATATTTAAAAAGAAAGAAGAAAAAAAGCTAGTGCGCGAGACGAGATTCGAACTCGCGATCCTCTGATCGACGCCGCTGTTCGAGAATCATCTTGTTTGTAAATTTAACAAACGCGGCTCGTAAATATTGATAAAACAGAAAAAATCTAACATGACTAGAACACTTATATTTCAGTTAAAAAAAGAAAGAAAGAAAGAAAGAAAGAAAGTAAAAAGAATTTTCAGAAGTGCTTCAGTCGAGGATGGAGCCTTGGAACTCTGGATTATGGGTCCCTTGGGATTGCTAAACTGCGACGTGGAAAAAATAAATAAATGAAGTCGCTGACTCCTGGTGCACTAGATCTTTAGCCTTCCTATTATTCCCCATGCAGGGAATTGCTTTTTGGTTTGGAGGCTCCCTGACGAAAACTATTAACGGTTACAAGTGTCACGCTTAATCTGAATGAGTACCTGCCCCGTCGGTGTACCCCAGGGCACCAAACTGGAACCCAATCTTGTCATCTCACTATGATAAACGACTTTTTAAGACAATGTGTACAGGTACTCTCATTATGTATAACACGAAGGTTGTTAACGCCGAATAAAAACTTGGCCTAAAAAAGAAGAGAATTTCAATCGGTCCACTCACAATCAGAAAATTTGGCCTTTTCCACGAGCGACACCCTTGTGTACAATTCTCATTTTAACTCAGCCGGTAGGCGGCAGGCGTGGCACCTCACGCAGATAGACTTGAAAGTCAGTTTTCTCTTCCTGACTCAAAAGTATCAACGTGTTCAATTATTGTCTACTAATCTGAATATTAAGGACCTGCCGGCCAGTCGGTGTACCCCAGGTCACCAAGCCGGGGCAGTACCTTTTCATCTCACCATGATTGACTACTTTATTTGACGTGCATTTATAGAAGTACTCTTATCATGTATGACACGGAGGTTGTTCAGGTCGAATAAAAACTTTGCCGGACAAAAAAAGAGAATATCTATCTGTACAGTCAATCAGAAAAAATTGGCCTTTTCCACAAGAGAGAAGGCCAGTGTGAAGTATACAGTCACATTAATAAATGTAAACTCAATTCAATGTGACATGCCCTGTTTGCATGTTCTAATTTTCACTCGCTATCCAATAAGTAGACTATTCCCGGATACCGGATGCATCGTTCAAAGTACAATTTTAATTTTCACTCTTTAGCCAAAGAAGACAATTCTAGACCCTCTTGTGGAATGTACAATTCTGATTTTCAATCGGCCGGTAGGTGGCAGGCGTGGGCATTCACGCACATAGACTTGAACAGTTTGCTTATCAAAGTCAAAAAACAGTCAGGTCATCTCCATGTAGTATGTGTAGAGTGCTTTTTTAAATTGATAAATAGTAAGACTGCTATTCCTTAGTTGAAGTGGTTATGTTCCATACGCAAGGTGCTCTTCAATGGTATAGCTATTTTGACTGAAAGAGCAGTCCTTGAACGAGGAATATTAATTTCAGTATACATTTATTTTAGATATTCAGCGATTTCAGAAAAGAAAGATACTCTTTAATATGTGTATATCCTATGTATGTTACAGTTGTTTTTCCTTACAAATTACGTTTCTAAAGGGCGTTTACACTAAGTTTAGCGATTGGAAAACACGGCATGTAGGTTGTTTACGCCGAATAATAAACTTAGCCGAACAAAAAAGAGAATTTCGATCTGCCCACTCAATCAGAAAAAAATTGTCCTTTTCCACAAAAGCGAGACGGTAAGTTTGAAGTGTACAGTCACACTGGTAAATGTAAACTCAGTTCAATGTGAGTATGGCCTTGGCAATAAAATTCGCGATAGACGCACATGCGTAATATTGGCAAGGAAATATTAAAATGTTCGAAAAAAATTCAGTACGGAAAAATTCAGATAAAATTGATCCCTTTTACATGTCCTCGATGTTTTTCAAAACGCTGGAAATCGCATTTTGAAGAGTTCTTTTTTTCAAAATTTCCTGGGGGAGGAGGTCCAGACTCCCTATATAAAGGTGGGAGTTAAACCCTCAGATCCAAAATATGTGTCGCCGTCCCTGACAATGTGCGTACTATTCAAAGAGTCCACGCTATGCGGATGATAACATGACTAGTTATACCAAAACTGCAAAAATATGAAATTCTTATTTCGTTTGTGTGCGAGACCGGTGTTTTTCAATACCAAATTAGCGATCGTTTAGGATATCTTTTCGCTGTATGCCTTACACATTGAAATAATATTTACAGAGAAGGAATATTCGGATGTATTCTGTATTTGATGTAAAATATTATATTAAAATCGTGGCTATGTTAATTTTATGTAAATTTCTCATATCTATTCTAGGCTCTCTTGTCATTTTCACTCGGCCGCAAGGCAGGTGGCAGGCGTGGCACATCACGCAGATAGACTTAAAAGTCAGTGGCTCCATGTACAATGCGTAGATATCCTTTTTAAATTGATATGAGTATGCGTCTGCCTTTCCTTGCTCTTTTGAAAAGTTACAGTTTTTGATCGAGGTTCCATATTTGTACATTAATTTTAGATATTAATTTGTATTTTTACATTTATATACACCTTACCACAAATACTGTTTAAAGCGTTCAAGTATTAAAAAGTAATACTTGAACATAGAAGACAGACTCGTAGACCACTTCTAGTGCTAGTGCACTATACACCCTTTTAATACGTCCCGAGGTATTGAGTTCTCCGCACTTGACGTTAGAATTAATTTTTTCTTAGTGAATTTTTATAACACAAAAGGGATTCAAAAGAATGCATTTGACGTCAAGTGCGGAGAACACCATACCTCGGGACGTATTGAAAGGTTGTATAGATCTCCTACCCTACAATGGAATTGCTCTTACTGACCTACCACACCCATTTTCTATTGTTTTCAATCGGTTTTGGTATTTTAGGTTAAACCTGCATTCTAAAAGCTGGGGGTGGCATTGATTATCATCAGGGGAGATTGGGGCTGACTAAAGCTTGAACTAGGTCTTGAAAATTAAAATCAATACCTGAAACAAGTCTTGAAATCGATTTTCAAAACCTGGTACCTGGAGATCACAGATGAAGGAGAGGATTGCATTCTGCAGTTTTAATTCGTTAGCTCAATCACTTTAGAACATCCTTTCGGTGTATCGGTTGTTTACACAATTAAATGTAAATGTAAAGCTATATAAAAAACAACAACAACAACAACAACAACAAAAAAAAAAACAGAAAATCAAAAAGAATGGCTCCACATCAGCTTGCTTTCAGATACTGGAATATATGTAATGTATACACAAGGAGAGAGCGTGTTGTATCAGGTGATCTCTAGCCCCGATACAACTGCTCTCGAGTTCTGTATACGGCTTATCAAACTTTATAATAATTCCACATTTTAATGTTTTTGAAAAATTTGAAATATCTTGCTGCATTTTATCGATTAAAATTATCAGAGTATGTCGCCGTTATGAAATATTCGTCAAGTATAACTGTTTGTATGGTGCCATTGTTTCATGAAACAACTGAACTAATCTAAATGATTAATTGAAAGCGGAATTGTCACATTAGAAGCTTTTTATACTTACTCCTGAAAGTTTATTTTCCTATTGTTTTTTTAAAGAATTTGCTTGCCAAACAATAGAAAATTAGAATTGCCAAAGGAATTGCAAGATATATTAGGCATTCATAGGTAGCAAAAATTAAATCAGTTGGCTTTCATTTCTCCCTTGAAGACGTGTCAAGTCGATTTAGGAGACCTAAAACTGTATAATGATAATCAGCCCCGCACTCCCCTGAAAATATTCAAAGCTGCCCCCAATTTTGAGGTTGCTGCACCATTTACCCAATATAAAGGTATAATCACGTGATTAGATTCTCAGTATATCATTGGATAATAATATTATGAATTATTAATAAGTTTGATAAGACTATATACCATATGTTCTGCTCATTTTCAAGCCCATGTACTTACACTATCATGTCAATTTCGATTCAAGTTAAATTATTTAATAATATTTTGTTTGAGTACCAGTATGATCAATACATTAACCATTTGCTAGAGTTAAGTTGTATTGTAAATGTTAGTAGGTTTTCATAAGTGAAGGGTAAATTGCTTTTCAGCACCAGAATTGGGAAATTCTTGTGCGATGATTGGCTGATTACAGTGTGTCAATAAGAGGGCATGAACACTGTGCTGAACGATTTTCGCTAATTCATAGACTTCAAATGTGGTAAAATAACCAATTGTGCAGGATTTTTAGTGGTGCATTTTATGACGTTAAGAGTGTGTAAATTGGACGACATACAACTCAAAACTGTGCACAATTTGTTAAATTGGGATACTTTCAGAAGCCTATAGCAGTCAATTACACTGTATAGCCATTTCAACAATTCCAGCCCCCCTTATCCAATTTATCATTCGTGTTCCCAAATAAATTTTAGACGAACGACTATATATTCATGATGCATATTTCTTCTTAATTCAGCTGGTAAGTAGGTGTTATCCTCTTGGGCTATAGGAGACAACTTTTGTTGAGAAATGTACAGTAGTCTGTTTTATAATTTCTCATTTTATGTACAATCATTTATTCTAATCAAAGTTCTGGCTTGAGCTTCCTGTGCTTCTAGTAAAAAATAACACTCTAAAAATGTTGCTTTCTATTCCTGTCCAGAAATTGTGGAAGTTACACTAGATAAACTGAAAAGAGAAGAACAGAATTCTAATATCAACAAGAATTCAATATCTACAATGATCTTAAATAAATTTGGTGACAAAAAAATATTAAAAATAAGTCTGTGTAGTTTAATCAGGTGACATTGCAAACATTTCAATTATTTTGGAAGACAAGGAAGAGCATTCCTTTTGGGGCACATCTTTATACACTCTAATACATAATTTCTGCATTAATTAAATGCATTTTTTAGTATCTATTCCTGTTTTCGGTATAATATCTAACTTACTTTGATTTCAGTACTGTGTATCATCCATGGATATTGCTTGTTACAATGTGAACCATG